TGTCTCAAAAAAAAAAAAAAAAAAAGTCCATTTCTTTCATAAATTAAAATGTTCAGAGGCTGAGGTAGCAGCATTTAAGGGCTCAAAAAGAGAATTTAGGACTCAGGAAATGTCAAAAGAATACAGGTGTGACAGCTGCCTGAGATGCAGGCTGCTGGTCAGATCTCAACAGTCAGCTAAACTATAGGCTAAATGCTTAGAAAAAGAGCTACCGTCCAGCAGAGAACAAAATAATGAAAACCCTGGCTTGAAACAGTAAATCAGTAGTTATCAGGTTCACATAATCCTCACTCACAGAGTCAAAGAATGACTTGCAGAATTCACAACAAATGCTGAAGGAAATGATGGAAAGGTTAAAACAGGAATGCTGAATTTTAGGAAGTCAGGCTGAAAAAATGCAGCTAGAGGTAGAAGACATTGAAAGAGGAACAGACACAGTGTTTGGAAGAAAAAAGTATATGCTTCATGAATGTATCAGAGACGAAATGTACAATCAAGCTAGAGAGAAATTGCAGTGAGCTGCAGATGCCCAGAAAAAGAGCAAATCTTATGAAAACAAATTGAAGAGATTGCAGGAGAACGTGGCAGTCTTGGAGGCAAATAGAGAAGAATTAGAAACAAAGTCAGGTGTTAAATAGATAAAAAAAATGTTCCATTTGAAGACTATACAAAGCTTAAAAAGAACTAAAGGATGTACAGAGAAGACAATGAATTTTGAAGTTTCATTTTGGTTCCTAATGTGCCTCTAGCATCAATCCTGTTAGTTTTCAGTCACCAACTATGGAATTATCCTTTCCTCCTCACGCACAGCAGAATAGCATCAAAGGGAACTAACTCTTTACCTGGCAAAAGACTAGAAGAACTAAGAACAATACCAAACAAAGGAAACAAATAGAAGAACTAGGGCATGGTTTTATTACTGATCTCCAAGGGCATGGTGTTTTTTTTGTTTGTTTGTTTTTGTTTTTTTTGAGACAGAGCCTCAAGCTGTCACCCTAGGTAGAGTGCCATGGCATCACAGCTCACAGCAACTTCCAACTCCTGGGCTCAGTGATTCTCCTGCCTCTGCCTCCCAAGTAGCTGGGACCACAGGCGCCCGCCACAACACCTGGCTATTTTTTTTGGCTGCAGCCGTCATTGTTGCTTGGAGCACCTGGGCTGGT